TTTTGTATTTGTATATAGAGGGTATTGTCTCACAAACCTAATGGACAATTTTTATTTTGTATGTGTACAGAGGAGATTGTGTCACAAACCTAAAAGATCACCAAGCACATGGACTATACCAAGAAACATAAACAGAAACCGAAAAATACCCAAGTCAGGTCAATATGACCGATCAGCAACACTCAAAGTCTAAGTCTCAGGGATTGTGCTCATAAGCATAGACCTAAACACTAAGAGGGTAGTGGGTGTGCTTTCACGGGGGGGGGGGGGGGTTAGGGGTTGGGGAAAAGGAGGGGGGTTATCGTCCTTAACGACTTTCTGTGTTTTAAAGCAAATATATTCAGTGGCAGCATTGGTACTTTCAAATTCACAAATTATGAATTACTGAAAAGTAGAAAATAAAACAACTAAATAGCGGCGTATGATACGCCGCGGGTCGGCTCGTTGTAAATAAACCTTCGGGGTGGACCACAGCTCACCAGACTGATTGGGGTGGGGGTGGTAGAGAAATGGTCTTTTGCGCGTGCCTGGAGAGCGAGAGAAAGTCTACCGCCCCCACCCCCTCTCCCCGAACGTTAAGGAATTAATATTGAAAATATATACTTATACCAGTATCCGCCCCCCCCCCCCCCCCCCCCCCCGAAATATCAAATGCCCCCCCCCCCCCCCCCCCCGGAGAAAAATGGAAGAAATACTGTATAAATCTTGACTCCAAGACCAGAATCTAGTCTAGATCTAGATAATACTAGATCTAGATATCTAAACTAGATTCTAGATCTAGGCTAGATTCTAGAATTCTCGATGTAGTCTAGATCTACTAGAAATCTAGTACCAGTTACTAGATTAGATTTCGTTAGACTTAGTAGATTAGTTCTACATCGAGAATTCTTGAGATCTAGTTCTAGAGGATCTATGGGGTCATCCATAAATGACCTCACGCTTTTTTTTGACGATGTTTAACTCCCCCCCCCCCTCATCTCCATCACACATTGTCACAAAAAGCCAGACCCCCCCCCCCCCCCCCTAAAATGACGTTTCACCTCAGCCTACAATTGCAGTTGAATTTTTTTTAAAACATCGATATTTTTCCAAAATCTTGTCTGAACTCTGTCAAAATGGAGTATTTTAATCCATTCATATTACAATTTATTAAAACAGTTTTCTAAAACGCGAAATAACGACTAAAATTCGTTTTCTAGCATTGCTCATTTATAATGCAAAAGTGTGACGTCGCACCATCTGACCCCCCCCCCCCCTCTCCCCCTCATCACACACCGTCACAAAATTACGGACCCCCCCCCCTACGAGTGTCATTTATGGACGACCCCCATATCTATATCTACATCTAGCTAGCTCTAAACTCTAAATCTATCTATACTAGAATCTAGATCTAGATCTATCCATATCTATCTAGATCTAGAATTCTTGATCTAATCTAGATCTAGACTTGACTACTCAACTGTGGATCAGTAATATAATATTATAATATTGGTATGTATTTTAACAACATGAATTATAACAATAATAATTAAATAAACCAATTACCTAAAGTCACAATGATTCATTACTCATAATATTGGTATGTATTTCAACAACATGAATGATACGAAACAATAAGAATTAAATAAACCAATTACCTAAAGTACAATGATTCATTACTCTCCCATCAGCATCATTCTTGTGCAGGCCATCCATCAAAGCAATACTGGTAGTACATATCAATGTTTTGTTTTCGATAAAACGGCTCTACAAAGCATTCGATTTTTTAGCCATGACACCGTTTTAGTGTCCCGTGCATAAAAATTAGAGTGCAACTTGAGATATTCCCGTTTTATTTGCGCACCATTTCTTGTATTCAGGAGATGTTTGTAAATGCTTTTCACTTTTCATTGAAGAGAGATTATAGATCTAGGGTGTCTTTAAGTGACGGTAATAGAGTCGAAGCACATAGATCTAGGTCTACAAAGGTTGATACGCTTACATTGTGTAGGCCTAATCTTGCGTATTGAATTTTTTTTTTTTAATTCTTGCTTATTCCATGATAAATCATAACTGCAAAAAAATGCCTGAGAGAAACACTGGTTTTGACTCAAACAATTGGGGAATTAGACCTAACTAAATGTCCCCACCCTCCTATTTTAAGTAACTCAAGTGCACTAAAAGAACGTTAATATAAAGGTTTTATTCGTTGTTTTTTTTTTTTTTTTTTTTTTTTTTTTGCTAGTAGATCTATATATAAATGTTTTAAAGTATATTAGACTTTAGACTAATAAATTGATGTATTCGTTTGTTTTCAATCGTTTTTAATCATCAATGTAGTCGACACACAACAAGATTTTTTTTTTTAAAATAGTTATTGCAAATATTTAATTCTAAATATATATTATCATTATTTAGTAGATAAATGGCCCGTTGAGGGAGGAATATTGTCTTTTTCTCTAAACCGAAACCCAAACCTAAATTATGCAGTGTTTCTTTCAGTCGTTTTTTCCGGTGGGGGGGGGGGGAGCCTCTCCACGAATAGATGCCTGAAAGAAAATGCATGCATACCACTTTTAAGATTTGACAAACAAATTAGGCGGTAATATTAGTGTATTTGTTATCAAGTATCGATGACATTATTATTGTTGTGTATTTTTCTCGGCAATGAATTTTTATTTCTATGTTTACTCTAGAATCAATGACGTCATTTTCCGACTTTAGAACTGTAAACATTTCGTTTCGTTTTGAAAGCTTCCTATAAGTTCCATGCAATGGCGTCGCTAGGTCGGGTGTCACCTGGTGCGGCACTTCGAGGTGTCCCCCCCCCCAAAGAAACAATGTATACTATATATAATACATATATATATATATATATATATATATATATATATATATATATATATATATATATATATATATATATATATATATATATATATATATATATATATATATATATATATATATATAGTGTGTGTGTATGTGTATGTGAGCGCGTGTGTGTGCGTGTGTGTCGACCTACATAGGCTATAATTTAAATATATTATTATGCGACATAGGCGTACATGTATAAGTATGAGCTTTAATCACTAAGGGGTCGTCCATAAATGACGTCACACTCGTAGGGGGGAGGGGGGTCCGTAATTTTGTGACGGCCTGTGATGAGGGGGAGGGGGGAGGGGTTCAGACGGTGGGACGTCACATTTTTGCATTAACAAAAAGTAATGTTGGAAAACGAATTTTAGCCGTTATTTCGCGTTTTAGAAAACTGTTTTAATAAATTGTAATAGGAATTGATTAAAATACTCTATGTTGAGAGAGTTCAGACAAGATTTTGGAAAAATATCGATGTTTTAAGAAAAATTCAACTGCAATTTTGAGGGGGGTTGTAGGAAGAGGCGTGACGTCATTTTGGGGGGGGGGGTCTCGCTTTTTGTGACAATGTGTGACGGATGGGAGGGGGGGGGGGGGTAAAAATCGTCAAATAAAGCGTGACGTCATTTATGGATGACCCTGTAGCATTGTTTTCTTTATAGTTAGCACGTTTACGAGATGGTGTCCTTAACCTCTGGTAATAATTGTCGATCACTAATCGATCTGGCAAAAAGCCATTTTTTTTTTTGCCGTGGTGTCACCCCATACATGGTGTCACCCGGTGCGATCCGCCCCCCCCCTCGTTACGCCTCTGGTTCCGTGTGACACCACGGTCTTTCACTATGCATCTTTTAAATGTCCTTGTGTTTTCTCTAGAACGTAACTTTTAGTTACTTTTTTATTACTTTGGCATGGCGTCTGCACCTTGAGAGGGAATGTATAAATGTTTCAAAATTACCGCATGAAAAATCGTTTAATTTCACTGATTCACCTCAACTAGATCTAGCAACATTTCTACCACTGTACTATTGATAACACGGTGAGGTAGGCCGAAGATCAAGATAGCCAGGAGATCTGCTTGTCTAGTAGAGCTGCTGTCAAATAGGTAGATACACAAACATGTTTAAAAGTAGAAGGCTTTCTCAAGGTTCGTACAACTTTTTGGAAATAAAATTCCAGACTTTTTCCTTTTTGCCAGTTCCAGTTTATGCACGCACGCAACCTTGAGGGTTAGGGTTAAAGGTACCAAAATACAGACATCTTCATGCAATTATTAATGACATGTCCTAATTTCACCTTCTTCAATAAAAACTAGTAATACAAGTTTCATCTAAGGGGTCATCCGTAAATGACGTCATGCTTTTTGGACAATTTTTACCTCCCCCTCCCCTAGAATGACCTCACACCTCAGCCACCAACCGACCCCCCCCCCCCCCCCCCCTCCAAAAATAGCAGTTGAATTTTTCCTAAAACATCGATATTTTACCAAAATCATGTCTGAAGTCTGTCAACATAGAGTATTTTAATAAATTTCAATTCGGTTTATTAAAACTATTTTATAAACGCGAAATAACGATAAAATTCGTTTTCTGTCAATGCTTTTTTTTTTATAATGCAAAAAGTGTGACGTCACACCAACTGAACACCCCCTCCCTTCACAACATTTAGTTGCTTCAAAATAATAAAGCAATTTTCTAATTTGGGTCTGCTCTTTTTGAGCTGCTTTGATTAATTCAATTAAAGTCCTAGATGTAGTAAATAGAGTCTTAATAATTATCAATAAAGCTGATAAACTTTTGCAAATTAAAAATTGTCTGATTTAATTATTGAAGTAGTCACTGAATAATCTGGTTTCTTCTGAGATCCAATAAAAAACGTATTAAAAGTGTAAACCCGCAGGATGAGAGCAAATTCTTTAGTAAAAACAAAACAACATAAAAACAACTGAGTCCAGACTTACAATTTTCTCTCTTTTTTATAGTCTTTAGTTCATGTTTCTAAATTAGAGACTTTTTCGAGACTACTACGAACCCTGCACTACTGGTATTTCTATACTGCATTTAATTGGCACTACGTTATAAGAGTTTCAACAAAACAAAGGTTAACAAACAATGAGTAAAAAATGTATTTCAAACAAAGTGAAGTCAGAGTTAAAGATTTATTTACAGCCACAGACAACATTGAGTATAATTACAAACTTGACAAGTGTATAACAACTGTGTGGATGAGAAACATGTGGAATAAATAATGGTACAGAATGAAAATAAAGCAATAAGCTTTTACAAGGTGGTTTTGTTTTACAAGAGTTTGTTCTAAATGTACACTGTGTTATCACTATCAACTGATTCCCACAAGCAGGGCATTAGAAAATTCAATGCACTGTAAAAATTATGAATTCAGCTGCACAATTACTGTCATACATGTATTGCAAACATCATGCAGCGCACTTGCAGCATTAAAAAAAAATCCAATGAAAATTACCAATGAATGAATTTAAGCTGTGCACAAAATGAAATGTACAAAATATGCACACATGAGAAAGTGTCAAAGAAGCTGAGTGAAGAAAGGGGAAATGGGTATTTACAAGAAAGAAAACTATCCTACAAGTGTCAATCCATCTCATTATATCTAGCATACATAGTTTTCTTCAGGGCATCTCTGTAGTTATCCCCAACATCGGCTACAACATTGGCTCCTCTCGCACCAAGCCCTGCCATCTGGTTTCTTCTTTTTGCCTAGAAAAACATTATTTGTTAGAAAATCATCACATGCTTGTGTACCCCAGTTAACAAAGGCTTAAGTTTGTGTGGCACATACCTCTATTGGATCTGTTCGTCCCTGGTTTGCCTTGCCTAGGCCCATGCCTTGGGACCAACCCATCTTCTGCAGCAGTTTATTGCCTATATTATCATCACCTATTCCTTTTTTAGTTGGTTCATCAAATCTAGAACATAACCAATTGTAATATTTTCTCACAATTGACAATGTCATTAGCAGTTTTCTACACTTAAATAATAACAAATTATTTATATGAAATAACTTACACAACAGGGATTGGGGCTTCGAAGTCGCGTTCTTTTCTTTTCCTTGGTTCAGGAGGTTCTGGTGCTCCATACTTCTGACGGCGCTCTTTTGCTCTGTCACGATACTAAACCAGAAAATGATACAGTAAGTAAACAACCCAATTACATAGGAAAAACTGATACATAAAAAAACACCCCCATAGATATGCACAAAGAGCTACTGTATTCAATAAATGGAAATATTTTTGCCATATAATCATAATTGCACATAGGCATGTATAATAAAATAAATATAATGCTTTACTTTTAAATGAAGGTTACATATAGTTACCTCTACTTTGCCACCACTTGATGAACCTTTAGATTTTGTTAGTGCTTCCAGATTTTGCTGAGCAAAAAATATATTTAAAATTTGCTTAATTAAGAAAGTAATTTTCATTGTAACATATTTTTAGTGTGAAACTTTGCCAAAAATGTTATTACTATTTAGAAATTAAAAGTTTTTAATTCATCAAAAAGGACTTATACTGGATAATTTTTTACTTACTTTATGTAAATCAGAAACTTGAGTATGCTTGCTGAGAATTTCTTTGGACTGAAACTGACGCTTACAAAGAAGACAGGCTAACTTTGCCCAATCCACAAGTTTTGATTCATCAAGAGGAGCAGTAGAATCATCCTCTTCACCACTATCACTGTCACCACCGTATGAGGCCACCAGACCAGGTTTACTGGATGATGGTTTCTGTGTACAAATTTTGTGGAGATTTAAGACATAGTGCATTCTCATAGCACTTTATAGTACAGGGTTCATACAACTTTTTGATAGTACAATTCCAGACTGAATATAAGTATTAATTTTTTAGTAACTACTTATAAGACACAATGCAAAAATTATATTTTATTTTAGTTCCATTTATTTTTGGAAAAAGAACTAGCATTTATCATCTTTCTCTAGTCAATTGTCAGAAAATAATTGATTTTTCAGAATTACGGTGCTTTTAAACATTGAGATGGTCATTGTAATGTAAATTATCACCAAACTTACAAATTACAAGCAATGTGGTTTACGAACAGTCAATTATGATAAAATGCAAGGTACCAAATTATCTAACTCTCATTTTTAGATTGAAAGCAAAAATAATCCCTTTATCAAGCTACAGTGGCACTATCATTTTATTACCTAGCTTCAATCACACTCTAAAAATTTTTTACACCTCCCTTTAGTCAATAAATGGCAGCTTTCCCTGTCAAACCCCCCCCCCCCCCCAATAAATTTTTTTTTGTCTTAACTGCCTACATTGCCTGATAAGGCTTTATCGTGTGTGATAAGTATTTAATGGTTTACAATCCAGTGTTCTGGTTGGAATGTGTTGAAAGGTTACTGTAAAATAATTCACATTGTTAACCTTAAGGTACAGGACAGGAGCAGTAATTTTAACTAGTAGACCACCAGATTACCAAAATGAAACCTTTGAAGTTAAATACAATGTTTAAAATTTTCAGATTTTATTTTTCAATGCTTTTTTATTAAGCACACACATAACTGTTTAAATGTAAGTAACATGGTGTTACAAACTGCAGACATGATGAATTTAAAAGTTCTTTTTTGAGAGAGCTAGAGCTAACTTGTTATATCTTCATGCATAAACAAATGGATTGGTCACATTTCACAAATGGATAACTGCTTTAGTTATTTCATTTTACCCACAAAGTTTTGCTGCTGGGACTAAAAAACTAAAATTTTATTTACCATAATTGGTGGTGGCGGCATCATTGACATATCTTCTTTCTGCAAATAATAAAGAGTAATAAATTCTTTATAGTTTCTACATCCGTACACATAATTAAGATAAAGGACTTTTTATTAAGATGGAAGAGGTAGGGGAAAGAAACAAAGGACTTACAACTTTCTGTAACATAGCAAATCCAGCATCGGCAGCAGCTGACTCTTGTTTATGTGATGGAAATGATCCAGGTTGTTGGGGAGCATTTGGTGTTCTTTTAAAGCCTTCTTTTTGAGCTTCTTTCTGAGCATTCAAACTTTTAGCCCATTTTTCCATATCCTAAAATTTGATAAAGTAAAAAAAAATATGGTCAGATTGTATTCACATGTAAATAAAATTTCTTTTTACAGGTGGATTATTGAAGTTAATTTTATATTTTATCTAGGTTATTTAAACCAGACATAACTGACTTTATTCTAATTCTTATTTAATAACACACCTTAGCAATCTTTTTGGCAATTTTAACTTTCTCTTTGTCTTTTTTATCTTCTTTACTATCTTTTTTATTTGGTCCATCAGGTGCTTCATCTCTATTACCATCTTCATTTGTAGGGGCAGGTAAATATGTTGACCTCTCTGAATCCCAATACATGAACTGACCCGTGGTTGAGTTGTAGTAATACTTTGAAGGAAAAAAAAACAAGTTTCTAAATTATTATTTACAAATTTTCTTCTTAATTTGTAACTTGAGTTCAGCTTACTAAAAACTATATGAAAACAATAACATACATATACAACTGAATTAAGAGATTATCCAAAGGTAGTTCACTATTTCCTAGAAGGCTATTTTATTGCTTCTATAAAATATTTATGATAAGAGCATTATCAAATTTATCCCACTGAATTCTATTTCAGAGTTTTCCAGATCATAAAAATGATGTAAATAAAATACTCTAAATTATTTAAAGAATATAGCTACCTGTGAATTAGCATCATAGTATAACTGTGTTAATGGATCATAGTAGTATCCTGACGTTTCCTCATATTGGTAACTTGATGTGTCAGGTGCAGCTAAAGGTAATAAATTCAGTCTGACAATGCTTATAACATGATTTGAATAACAATAGATTATTTAGAATAGTTATATACTAGTAAAAAAATGTATTTGAGGGTTGTTCAAAAATGGTTTAAAAATTATTTTTAAAAAGCATAAACTTTACTTACGGTAAACAGGATACTCAATACCATTTACAGTTACTGTTTCATTACCAGTTGTTCCCAAGATCTTTTTTTGTATCTATAATACACAAAAGTCTAAATCAATATTCTTAGAAAAGAAAGATAAGAGCAGTCTTTAAATATAGAGATTTATAGGTTTAATAATTATCTTTTAAGAAGGCACAGTGGCTTTTTTACAATGTTCTTTGGTAAGAAATAGATTTTTAAATACATTAAACACCATTTAAAAAACAGAATTAAGAGATTCATATTTACAAAAGCATCTAATGAAGTAGAATTAGATGAATAAGAAACAATGTGATAACATAGTTCAGTAGGTCATAATATTAATACAAACATTAAGGAACGTAATGGCAGCTAGGCATAGTGCTGACAACATTAACCCTTGGTCAACAGGTACAGTTCACCTTCCAAGCAAACCACCAAGTTCAAAATGTTAACTCAACAAACTATTGAAGAGTACTTTTTCTTACCTGTTTTTGAAAATGTTTAGCAGCCTGTGCTTGCTGAATAGCAGCTTGTGCAACTGCTGCAGCTGTGTTTGTTGTATCTGAAAAAGCAAAATTCATTATTTTTATCAAAACTTTTATTAGCAAATTTTTTAAACAAAAGGTATTTCTATTAATTTATTTTTATGTATTGTCAAAATGCTACATACTCTCATTTTTGGAACTAGAGGCTGTGCTAGAAGAACTGGCAGATGAAGTCCCCTGACCATACAACTGTGAGTAATCATAGTATTGATGAGTTACAGGATCATAGTACTGACCACTCTGTGGATAATTTACCTTATATAAAAGAAATTTTCTATCCCCCACTTGAAACAATAGACCAACAATACATATTGAAGGTTGTGTAAAAAATGTGTTAATTATAACTTGCTACACACAACTGTGTTAACACAAATCATACCTGTAAATGAGACTGTTGAATGTATGCCATTCTAAAAATTGGTCAAAATAATAAAAAAGACATTAAAGAGTGTAGTTAAAAGTAAAAAGATGCATTAAAAAGCTTTAGTTAAACATCAATATTAAATAGGAAAACATTTTATTTAAATTGTGAATCATGGGCATGTTTAAATATTACTTTTTATTCAATATTACTTACGTAGTGTTGTAGGTATTCTTTGCATAATTGATAATAAGCTGCTTCCCATCAACTTCTAAAGGTGGATCAAGTTTATTTAAAGAATCTAATACAACAGTTGAAGCAGCTACAGAATGAAACTCAATAAAACCAAAACCCCTAGAAGTGCCAAGATCATCTCGTATGATTGATACATTCTTTATTGGTGCCAATGGTGTTGGGGCAAAAGCCTGTGTCAGAGCTGTGACTAAACCTTCTTCTGTTGTTAGTGCATCAAGACCTCTAAAGATTAATGCTGGAGAAAGATGATAAAAAAGAAAAATAAATATTGCAGCACAAGCTTTATCAAAATGGTTCAAATAGGCTCTAGGGAAGAGCATAAATAAAAGCATTCAGTAGGCTTTTTTTTTCAGAGATTGTTCCTGCTTTAACAAAAATTTCAATTAAAATGTAAAAGGTTTTGCCAACCTAGAAGTATAAATCTGATTTTAAAATATGCCACTTACTATTGCAAGGGTTAATTCCAATTTCATCTTGCCCATCAGAAGATTTGCCTTTCTCAGACTCTGAAATAATATTTGATTACAGAAATTAAAACATACAATATTAAGTGCTATTTTGGACCAAGGTAGCAGTATATTTAATGACCCAAAAAAAAAAAAAAACAACTGATAAACATAACTTTAATGTAGATGTGGAATCATGATGATATGCATTGGTTTATACACTTTTCTTTTAAAGAAAGCAGCCTAAATTTTATTTCAAAATGTATGTAGGATACAAACATGTACTCTTATAAATTTGCTTCTCTGTGGTAAGACTAAAAAACGAGCACTAAACAATTATGAAAGTTGCCTAATAGGATAAAATAATAACTAATCATGTGTTGTCAAGTTATTAAATTTACATGCACAAGCTGCTGTGAAGATAAAGTTGTGCACTCAGCCAAAAGGGAAGATTTGGTACTGTCAAATTAAACTTTAATGACTCATTAACATTAATGTGACCTGATCAGGATAACCCAGTCATTTACGTAGTGATTTAGTTTTTCAGCTAACAAGTAGCTTCTATATTTTCTGGAACACATCTAACTTACCCTTCCGAGAAAGATTGCAATTGTAACAGAAATCTCTGCGCTTGAAATTGTGACTTAAACACTGGAAATAAGTGGTTCAAAGAATGTTTACATAAAGAGCTTAAATTATGATTATTTCTGGACAAAGGAACATTTATTTTCTGCTTAAGGAGTAACAGCAATAGAAAAAAACAAGTTTAATTTCCACAACTTAAAAAAAAACCTACCTTAATGCAGACCCAATCATTTCTTTGAAGGTTACCATCTCTGTTACCACCTCGATCACGAGTAACACTGTAGGCCATTACAGCTCGATACTGATTCAATAGCACAAGGTTTCCCTGAAAGAAACGAACATACTGTTAAAGGTTATGGTATTTAAAAGATTGTACCATCCAGTCCACATCTTCTACATGCTTTTACGTCAAAAATTTAAAGCCACGCCGCGAGGCGAACAGACCCAAGTGTTTTTTTTACTATAAATATTACTTTTTCTTTAAATGTTCTATTTGATAGAACAAATATCTATTAAAATGTATAACATACAAAACTTGCAATTGTGAGACAAAGATGCCAAAAATTCTTCATAGCAACAATCCAGATAGTGGAATTTTGCATCCCCACTGATAAATTACAGTATAGCATCACACAGACAAAAAATTAATTAGTAGATTATAAACTATCTGTCTGAAAAATTTGACCATGTACTTCAATTATTCATATGCTGGCTTGATAAAATATTGATAAGCAGTTTGAAAAATGTTTAAGTGCAATAGTCATGTAGTTACAATATACATTCAGAACACTAGTTAACTTTCATGTTAACATAAACATTAAAACTGATTGTATGTTACATAAAAAAATACCAGCCAAAAATATAAAACGTCTTTGACATAGCCAGGCCCAAATACAACCCCATAACCAATATTCATGTCTTATATAATAATCAATGGCTATTTTTCTATGTCAAAATCCAGAAGGTAACAGACCAACCAAAGCGTCGAACACATGTGGAAATGTAGCAACCACCTACTATCCACAGCAAACTATTGACTTTTTTAAATTGATTTTTTTTTTTGGTTTTTTGAATTATCAACCTGTGTGTGTTCCATCCAGCGCTGTGCATCGGCTACGTTATGAAACTCCACAAAAGCAAAGCCTCGAGAGACACCTGTGTAAGCAAGGTGGAAACGAAGCTTGTTAAATAAAACATTCAAACTTCATTAAAATTCATCAGTGCGGAACCAACTGAGAAGGAGGACTTACCATTGTATAACCTTTGTTGCAATACTGTCCCATAATACATGTCAGTACATTTTAACAAATTTTTATATCGATAAATTTAAAACTGTTCGTATATAATCAAGTGGCTAAAGTTTTGAAGTTGAAACGTTCATAATTTAAAATTGTTAAACGATTAAAAATAGAAAGCTTACACACTTTTTTTTGGAGATAACATGTTCATGATAAAACAATCAAATCAAATTTCCCCACCCATTTAAGTGAGCAAACTACTCACTTAATTCAACATAGTAAAAATTAAATTTTAAAAATTACCTGATGATCTTCGAATTAAACGAATATCCTTAACAGGGAGACCAAGCATCATGAGTTCAGCACCAATCTGCATAATATATTAGATGGAAAACAGTTCTTTGGAAATGTATCAATATTAAAACAGCCTATATAAAATCAATTAAGCTTTAAAAAAGAAACAGTTAACCTACATGACAATTGTTACAATTCAAGAATGAACAACACTTACAAGTTTTTCATCTATATCAAAATGTAACCCTCTGAGAATAATTGTGCGTGAGGGTTGGGCGCATACCCATTTATCACCCCCTTTATCTTCTGAAGAGCGGGATAAATCTCGAGGATCAGAATCTCTGTTGCGGAATCTATCTGATGATCCACTTCTATCACCATCATCAGACATCTAATAAAATATAAACGAAACAAATACTTTCCATAGTAAGAAATTATTTACAAGTTTACTGAGATCATCAAATGGATCACATTAAGCTTAATGAACTATCATATTTGTGTCATTATTAATTCCATTCTACTTCTTTGTTTTTAATTGTAGTATTTGAGACATGTTTACTCAAACTTCAGCCTCTTTATTTCTAGATTTGCTTTGCCTTTATCTATCCAAGAACAATCTGCAAGACATCAGTTGTTTGATTTTTGGAGTTTTCTCTCCTAGAAGGGTTGCTAGTGGGGATCTGCACTGAGTCAAAATTGTGGACTAGCAGTCACGTTCTCCCCTGCCAGACTACACTGTCCCCATTATTAACTCCTGAACTTACAGGACTTCTGTCTCTATTTCCACTCCTGTCTCTGTGTCTTCCAGAGCGGCCATTATCACGATCCTGGCTCCAGTCACTTCTTCCTCTATCTCGATCATGATCATTACGGCGTCTGTCTCTGTCTCTTCAAAGATAAAAATTTAAAATTTAGACAAAGTCGCTTAATTAAAATAAAATTTAAAAAATATATAATTGATAAATACGTTCTCACCTTCCCCTGTCTCTATCATCACGACTTCTTATATCTCTTTGTTCCCTGTCTCTTTCTCTTCCTCTATCTCTACTCTGATAAGCATTATCTATGCCAGGAGGCATGGGATCAACACGATTTAAAAGATCTACATTGTGAAAATTTGGGTCAATGCCATAACTGCGATTTGGATCATCAAATCCAGGAACATAGTTGTTAAAACTACCAGGAACAATATTTATTCGTTCGTTTTGAAAATTTGGCCCTACAGTAAAAAGCGGATTTCCATGGAAAAAAGCCATCTGTTAAATCTGGAGAGAAAAGAAGAAATATCTTAATTTATAATGAACAATTTTACTACACACCTGAGAGCGCCTGTTTATGCGTTTTGAAGTTAAGTTTACCCTCCAGTCCAATGTAATCAGATTGTTTTTCAGATTGTATTTTTATTTATCATTGTTATAAATCAAAATGCTTTTAAGTTTGCAAATATACTACCAAAAAAACAAAAACCACCCACATTAATAAACACCCAAAATTTAATACGAAGTGACTCCTCGGAAGAAGATTTTTCTCCCCAACGTCTCCACTTAGTCGGCAAAAGATAGCTCTGCGCATGCGCAGTGACCAATGGCTAGGGTTAGAATGAGGGTTAGGGATAGGATTAGGTTAGGTATAGGGTTAGGGATAGGATAAGGGTTAGGACAAGGATTAGGGTTGGTGTTAGGGTTCTGCGGTTGTAAACACACGCATGCGCAGTACCATTGAAAACATTGCCGCGATGGCAAGTCGTAGTTTCTCTCCATTGCGCATGCGTATCTTATTCCGGCTAGCATCGGCCAATTTAATAATAAACAACAAACAAAATAGAACTAGTCTAGATCTATTTCTTTAGATAGATCTAGAGATAGTCTTGAATTTTGGAACTTTTTTTCTGTTTTTTTTTCCTGTGACTTTTTTCCGTTCACCGAATATACATATAGATTAGGTTGAATTATGGATTTTTTTAAATAAAATATTCTGTTATTTCAAATACACCATTAAGTTCCTTACCCCTTAAGAGAACATTTGACACCACATTTAAATATCTAGCTTATTCGGTTGACGAGAAAAGAGAGAATTTGAAAATTTAGCTAGAATGGAAAATGAACGACAAAACAAGAATCTTGCTCCTGGACCGGCATAACATGACGCCGTGGACTTGTGTGCACGAGCTTTTAATTCCCGCCATGGTAATTGCGTCAGCTTAGGTCATTTACTCACCGGAAAATAACAAAAACCAACTGGTTGATAATAAAACTAGATCTAGTTATTTTATTATTTATTAAATTCTACTGTACATGTTATTCATAACATTTTAAGAAATAATGAACACCTACATAAATCAAACGACCATAATAAATATTTTTTATTTCAAATTCTAATTTTAAATAATAAATATGCATAAAATAATATGATAGTAATAGTTAAGATAGTTTATAAATGCAAATACATTTTACACTCAATCACATTATATTGAGTCAACAGTGTGGCAGCTGAGGTTCATACATGGTATTAATGTCTTTTTTTTTACATTACATTTTTTTCTTCTTGAAAACATGACGTATGTGATTTTTTTTTAAAATAAAATCTCCAAACATCAACACTCGCGTGATTGCTTGCTTATGTTTACTATCCTGTGGATGAAAAATCCCACCACGGTCGCGGGGTCACCGTGACTTCAGCAGGCCTATAGTACACGTCATAGAATGAACACGCGTACACGAGATGGTCGGTGTCTTCACTTCTCTCTCTCTTCCCCCCCCCCCCCCTCTTCTTCAAGCAAATTGAAAAAGAGACCTACTTCCCTACTTCTGGTCATTTTTTTTTTAAAGTTTGGTCAATTTTTTTTTTTAGTTCACATATGTGGCATGCTTGACAGCCAGCTGTATAAAAAAAATATTTTTTAAACTAGATCTAGATGATCTACGTCTAGCTTAAAAAAAATTAATAAATAAATGCTTAAAATGCCCGTAAACAGATTATTTAGCGGCAAAAAAAAAAGGCCCCTGAACGAGCATTTTATACAATACGCAGCAATGAAAAAGGCTAACGGCCAATCAATTAAGTCTAAAAATCGCCCGTAATTAGGCCTAGCTCTGAAAAAGGCCACTGAACGAGCATCACTGATTATATAAACGAATAGGCCACGCAGCGTTGACGAGGTCAACCACCGGCCACGAACGCAGCAACGGTCGGCCCACAGTGAAGAAAAAAATAATATACTAATAAAATTACTAATACAATAATAATGTCTATAATTTTACTTTTTCCACACATGCTACAATTGAATTATAATTAAAATACTAGACTTAACAGTTCATTCCGTAAAAAACAAAAACTAGTTGTTTCAGTCTGGCAACTAGCGTAACAATGACGTCATGATACTAAAAATAGCGGATAGAAATGTCAGCGTGGGTACCTCATCCTCGAGGAAGATTTTAGAAAAAGTAATCAAAAATACTGTAAATATACATGATAAATATATCAATTATATATTAATGTACAGTTAGTCGAGCCGTTTTCCCCGTTAGTTGGTAGTTTTTTGCGGCGGTTCAGTTTTTACGGAGAGTGCTCCACTAGAAATCCTCTCATTATTTACAACCACGAATCTTGCGATTTTTTCTGACATTCTAAGGCATATTATCCATTTTATTAGCAATTTGCATTAAAATAATGATGAGAATTTGCGATATAAACAGTTTTTTCATTTGTCGTGGATGGGACCCCTAAAATAAACGTAAAAACCGTCAGAAAACGATGCGTGACGTTTCAGGGTCAGAGGTCAATCCTGCCATCTAAGCAATGCGCCAGACTAATATAGATCTAGATCTAAATCTAATTACCTAACCTAGTCGATGCCTTGCTTTAGTTAGTAGTTCTACTAACTAGATTCTAAATCTAGATTCTAGATCTAGAATCTAGAGTGGTGAAGTAAACCTGGCTAGTCTAGCCTAGCAGCTCTTGTCTTGAGTAGAACTTTCTAATAAATAAGATCGCTGCATAAAATTTGTATCCATGTCTAAATCTAGATCATATTTATTTCTTCATACATATGTAGATTATATCTAGATCTAGATCTATATCTGTGTAATCAAACAATTAATCACCTATTTGGCGGTTAACCTTGCTTTTGAGTCTTTAACACATTCGATTTTGCACTCATAGATTACGAACCAAGATGTCGTTCATTACGTCTCTTCCGGTCTGTACACATGCCAGCTGAGCTCTCACAATACTAGCCATAAATAAACATAAGCCTCTGGGCTTGCTTAGGCTAGAAAGACATTTACTGTACATCTAAACATTTAGGGCCTATATTTTTTAACTTCGCAATATTTTCTATGATAGGCAAGCGGGCCAAGTAGGTTTCTTTTTTAACCATTTAAACTTTCACAAATCTAGGAAATAAGTAAATTTGAATGTAAAGTAACAAAAGTTGACGTATTCTAACTTTGTCACCTTCCCACTAGAACACCCCCCCCTCCATCCTTATTTTTTTAAGTAATATATTATTGTGTTATAATACATTCGTAATTAAGAAAATTTAACGTTTATAAGCCTATATAATTGGATAATCGAGCGTGATAGAAAAACCAAAAATACCGAATTCTGTTTTTCTGGTCCCTTATCGTTAGTCCACGCAGCTCTCATTACTTGCTGACTTGAATGAGGGAGGGGGTTTGACTATGTGTATCGCGCTTACTGCACAGACGCGAGTGGCGTCGCAAGGTCGGGTGTCACTTGGTGCGGCACCTCAAGGTGTAACCCCACCCCCCTTTTTTTCCTCTTTAAATTTTCCAGTTGGTGTCACACACGCCGTTCTCCCCCCCCCCCCCCTCCCACACACACACACTGAAAAAGCTTTAAAAATGTTCACATTTATTCTACTGATGTTTGTCTATAGTCGGTCGTTAATAAAGTTGGATTTCTCTGATTTTTCCCCTGCTCAAGGTAGATAACTATTTGCATTGTGGTAGTTTCACTTTTTTTAAAAACTAAAAGTAACATTATCTCCCTTTCACCCGAAACCACAACTAGCTCGAACTTTGCTCTCAGCAACAGCAAGGTTTTAGAAAATGTTTTCCTAAGATGAGCTTCGAGAATCTAACCCTAATGCATTTCCTACTAGTTAAAAGGTTATGTTTCTCTCAATTTATAATATGTGCAAAATATGTTTACTCGCTCGTTACAAGTATTTTCTGTTGTTAAATCTCGTTTGATCGACCAGAAAAATAGCCGACGCCGAGAGGAGGGAGAGTGTGCTGTTACGCCGAAATTTTAAGCATCAAGAAAATATCAGCAAATTATTTAAAAATAAACTTTCAACCCTTATGACACCGTTACGAAAAATAACAAGTAATAGGCATATAACAGGCACGTGAATGCATGTTTCTTTACCCCGCCATCATTTAAATGCCGGAAAAGTTGCTTGAAACTGAAGGCTATAATTGACTGGTCGTCACTTGGGCAGAGTTTCTTCCAGGCATCTCTTCGGGGGGGGGGGGCGGGCAAACCCCCAAAAAAACTCTACTAAATTTATATAATTTATATAGAAAATATATACTTTTAACAGTGTCCGCCCCCCCCCCCCCCCGAAGAAAGTCTACCGCCCCCCACCAAAAATTTCAAGTGCCCCCCCCCCATAGAAAAAAGTCTGGAAGAAACACTACACTTGGGGGAATTTGGGGACGAGTTCACGATTACTATTGTGTTCAGAGTCGGCATAATTTATGAGTAGTATTTTGAGGTTATTTCAAAGATATGACATGAAAAATAAATTGGATCATTCTAGTTTGTTTTTCTCTCTCATCCTCTACACCAGTGGTTCCCAACCTTTTTCGAGTGGCGACCCCTTTTATAAAAAGTAAGTGACCCGCGACCCCCACTGAATTAAAAAGCTGAAATTTAGAAATTAGTATGGAAATTAATAAGCACTAAAATAAGATTTTCTAGTAGACTTTCAATCTGAACTACTCTTGATAACTATTTTAATAGCATGAGTAAAATTGCATACTATTCACTAAACTTTCGTGGTTAAGTTTTAAATTATTTATTTTTGTTAACGCCAACCTATGTCATTATAATTATCTTAATTTTGTTTTTAATCGAAGAATAGTGTTGAAAATATATTCTCGAAAAGTCAATCAATTTTACGTTTGGGTATGAATGGTGAATACTACACCAAAATTGTGTCTGCAGTTTTTCATCTTACTCGGAATCATTCTGCAAATCAAATAATTCATCTTGTAATTCATCGGGAATGCTGGCAACATCAAGGGAAGAAGAAAATGGGTAATGTGTAAATGCAGATTCCTCTTTTTTCAGCTCAGACAAATAGCGCCGCAGTTCGTTTTCAAGAGATTCAAGATGCCCAGAAATCGCTTCTTTCAAAATTTTAATTATCTCACAATCGGATTTATCTACCACACTGCAGAGTTTCTCAAATTTACAATATTTCCAAGATTTATTTTCTTTACCGATTTTGCAGTTTTGATAAAAATGCCCCGAGATTATCATGGAAAGTTATAATATTCGTTCATTTTTCCTGATTCTTCAGGTTAAGCTTATCTTGATGTTCGAACACATCTGCTAGGTATGATACTCTCTCCAACCACTCTATGTCGTTTTAAGTATACCAAAAAGTCTTGTTTCCTTTGCACTTCCAAGAACAATTTGATTTCAGATTTCAATTCAAAAACACAATTTACAACATTTTGTTTGACAGCCAGCGTACTGTGGTGTAGAAGAGCAGAACCTCGTGATCTATATTAATGTTTTTGCTCAGTTCTTTGAAGGCTCCGGATTTCATATAATTTACGATTTATACTAGCAATGGACTCTTGATGTCGATTGGTTAGGGCAGTGGTTAGGGAGCTAAATCTTTCCTGTTTTCTAAAAAGCCCGATTTCGAGCTAAACATAGATGGCGCACCATCCGTACAAACCCCCACAGACGTTCTAACCCATTTTAATCATCCAGTTTAAAAAAGGTATTTATTTTCTCCATGCTATCTTAACAAAAGAGCAACTCTTCTTTGCTATCATCCGCATGAATATAGACACAGACCAGCAACTGCGAACACGAACTCACGTCTGTTGATTTATCAACTTGAAAAGCAAACAATGGTGAAAGCTTAATTTCAATAAAAATGTGTTATTTAACATTTAGGAACAGGCAGCGTTTGATGAGATTTTCTCCTATTGTTTTTTTTTTTTTTTTTTTTTTTTTGCTTGGCATTTGTTATCGCGACTTCATTTGATGCTTGCACTAATGCTGGTGAAAACTTCCTGTTCTATCAAGTCTCTGGCGTTTGCAACTAGTCTAGCTTCTTACCGACGAAAGAACTTCATATCTTTTTTGGTGTGTTCCTAATGACTCGTCTCAAATGGCGTTTTAGTTTTGAAGATTTCATAGATTCGTGACTGAGAACAACTTTTGCAGTGCGCTTTGTTTTTTCTCTATTACATTTCCAGTGATGTTAATGAAGCCGAATTTTAAAAAATTCTTCTAAATATTTATGTTTTGTTTAAAATTACTAAGGTTTAGTATACCAGTTGGCGACCCCCCAGAAAGACCTTCGCGACCCCCAGGGGGGTCGCGACCCCCAGGTTGGGAACCCGTGCTCTACACTAAGGCATAATGATTCGAGTTAACATTATCTTAAGGCAAACACAACAGTAACTGTAGTTAAGTGATAACATTGACATTGACTCTTGATTGAGTATATCAAGTATTAGGAAACAATAATAATACACTGTTCGTGTTAACAGGTTGAATTTATCCCAGAGTCTGTGCATCGAGTCAGACTTGGCTGTTAATTTGTATTGAACTGTGCAAGTTAGCATAGAGTACGGTATATTTAGTTAAATAGACTAAGTATACATCACTCCAGCCTTCAGCGTCACTATGATTGCCAACAACTCGATAGGCGGGGCTGTAGATATATATAATCAGAACTTATGTAAACAATGACAGGATATTCTAGAGTAGCTTTCACGTCAGTCTGCAACAATATGCAGACATGAAGCTAGACCCAGCTATTTGTCGTTATGGGATGAAAGTTTAGACCCATCCACGTACAATAACAGTCCAACATTACCTGCAGTTATGGGATGAAAGTCTAGACCAACATTACCTGCAGTTATGGGATGAAAGTCTAGACCAACATTACCTGCAGTTATGGGATGAAAGTCTAGACCAACATTACCTGCAGTTATGGGATGAAAGTCTAGACCAACATTACCTGCAGTTATGGGATGAAAGTCTAGACCAATATTACCTGTAGTTATGGGATGAAAGTCTAGACCAAGATTACATGCAGTTATGGGATGAAAGTCTAGACCAACATTACCTGCAGTTATGGGATGAAAGTCTAGACCAACATTACCTGCAGTTCTGGAATGAAAGTCTAGACCAACATTACCTGCAGTTATGGAATGAAAGTCTAGACCAACATTACCTGTAGTTATGGGATGAAAGTCTAGACCAATATTACCTGTAGTTATGGGATAAAAGTCTCTAGACCAACATTACCTGCAGTTATGGGATGAAAGTCTAGACCAACATTACCTGTAGTTATGGGATAAAAGTCTCTAGACCAACATTACCTGCAGTTATGGGATGAAAGTCTAGACCAATATTACCTGTAGTTATGGGATAAAAGTCTCTAGACCAACATTACCTGTAGTTATGGGATGAAAGTCTAGACCAACATTACCTGCAGTTATGGGATGAAAGTCTAGACCAACATTACCTGCAGTTATGGGATGAAAGTCTACACCAACATTACCTGTAGTTATGGGATGAAAGTCTAGACCAACATTACCTGCAGTTATGGGATGAAAGTCTAGACCAACATTACCTGCAGTTATGGGATGAAAGTCTAGACCAACATTACCTGCAGTTATGGGATGAAAGTCTAGACCAACATTACCTGTAGTTATGGGATGAAAGTCTAGACCAACATTACCTGCAGTTATGGGATGAAAGTCTACACCAACATTACCTGTAGTTATGGGATGAAAGTTTCGCCTATTCAATATGTCTCCGTACAAGTTTCCTTTTTTAAAAAAACCTATGAATTTGAATCATTCCAAGTAATTTCGTCATTCGCCTGTTTGTGGTAACTATTTTATTTAGATTTACCGTTATTTCCTTTCTGGTTGCAATTTTACCATAATTTCAAAAATTAGGGGAAAAATAC